CCCATGGGTTCAGATATGGTGGAATACGGACCAATACGACGGAAGCCCATTAGCCAATATAATTTGGTCTGCCTGTCCCCGCTGCATACAGCTATGCGACAGACCAACTCGTTCAATATTGCTTGAATAGATTATAAATAGACACAGAGACAAACTGGCTGGACATATGCACAGACAGAGCATTTCTGAGGAGTTGGTGTGGAGTCAGGTATATAAAGTCGAATTTAACAGAGATGCATTTCGGTACCTGTTTAACCCTCGACCTTTCCGGCGCCAGCGTGGGAGGCATATTTGACCTACTGAGCAACAAGTGGTTTAGCCTACTGTAAAGTATTGAAGTAAAATTCCCATATCAAACTTTACGAGAACACGTGGAGGATTACAGTCAACTGGCGGCAAAGTTTGTAAGTTATCACTGCCTTATTGTAATTTTCAGAAAGGGGGAATTGAATGAGGGAGCTCTGGGTTACCGCTTGTCAGAAGAACACGCAGCTCATACACTCAAGCCTTTACACGGTACTTTACTGATGCATTACAGCTGGAGGAAGTGACGACAAATGACCTTGACCCATTCAGGTCAATGTCGTTGATTTTAGCCACGAAATCCACAAACGTGGAGCGAGATCTGAAAAGCAAATAAGGTAAAATTTGTCCCTCTGCTTAATTACCTGCCACGTCGTGAATAAATATGGGGGAATGGAGATATGACTCCATGCATTCTAACATCGCCTGCATATGGGGATGAGCGGGCGGTTTCACACACTGTGTAGGAAGCGCCAGGTACCCATTGATTTGGAGGCTGGGTGGGCTCTAGTGCCACTATGAACGCTGACTATAAAAGAAGTCCCTTGCACTTGCCGGGAATCGAACTCGATTTTTACACCAACCAACCAATCAACTAGACAGTCTACCGACTGACGTAAGGAAAACATTTGTTACAAAGTGTATAATTAAAATAAATTTGGAGCCGGTAAGTTGGTCACAGCTGCTAGGTGCTTATAGTTAAACTGTGTAGGCGGCGACGGCTGATTTTCTTAACGCATTTTGTTTTCACGCCGTATCCACTTCTCAACTTTTCCACTGCCTGTAACAAGATCAGAAGCTAAAATGAGAAGCCTTACTTGTTTACTTAGTTACTCATGGAGCTGAGCCCTTCTGGAGGAGCCGCCAATTCTGTAACTACTCAAGAACTTCCCAGCATTTTATGAAACCCAAAGGTTCATTACCGTGTTCACAGGAGCCCTCCACTGGTCCCTAACCTGAGCCAGAACCATCCAATCCATACCATCCCATCCTATTTCTCTAAGATCAAAATGAGAAGCCTAGTCCTTAAAACTGAATTTGATTTTTGAAGAGTTTACGGTCTTCGATAAACAATTCACTTGATTCGACTTCAAATGCATAAAAAAAACTTCATCTAGCATAAACAAATATGAATAGAACACACGAGAATATATCTACAGTGATGTTTAGAAACAGATCAGTCGGTAGGCTATGGCGACGGTCAGCGTGGCTGGGGTTATTTGTGGCAGAAACAAAAGAAGTTTTCTTTAATACACAGCGTCCAGACCGGCTCTGGGGCTCACCGTGTCTCCTGTCCAATGGCTACCGGAGAATTTCCTTGGGGCGAAGAGGTCGGGCAATGAAACTGACCAGTCATTTCCATCTTGTGCCGTGGTCAATAATGTTGGAGCTATACTTCCACTCCCCCATACGTCTTCATGGCGTACTGCTTAATTAGTTAATCATGGTGACAACTGCCCTCACATCGGTAACTCACACTATCTCTCTCTCTCTTGATCTACAGCCAGACTTTGGCCGCCTTTTCAGTTTCTTAATCCCATACAGTGTCGGTAGAACTTCTTGGACGGGGATCAGCCCGTCGCAAGATCGCTACCTACACACAGAATAAACGCAAACAGACATCCATGCCTCGTGTGAGATTCGAACCCACGATCCTAGTGTTAGAGCAGGCGAAGAAGGTTCATGCCTTAGACCGTGCGGCTACCGTGACCAGCTGGAAACTACAAACACTAATCAGATTTCAGACAAAAGAACACTAGAAATATACATTTTTATACAGTTTAATTCACGAAATGACATCGTCACTAATTCTGAACTCCCTCAACAAAAGAGGAAGAACATTAAGACAATCTAATTAAGACAATACGTTACAACAGTACGGCAATTCTATGCCCACGAAATGACGATGCTGGTCATATCGATAAAATTTTTAATATGAGATTTCGTATTAATACGTAGATTTACTGAAGGGGGAAGTTAAAACTTAAGAGAAATAAAATATTTCCCACTGAAGTATGAATTTGCAGGTCACGATAGCCGAGTGGTCTAAGGCATGTACTGTCTTCGCTCGCTTGGAAACCGGGATCGTGGTTTCGAATCCCACTCAGGGCATGGATGTTTAGTTTGTGTGTGTGCGTTTTTCTGTGTTTGTCTACAGGTAGAGACCTTGCGACGAGCTGATCACCCACCCAAGGAGGCCTGCCGAATGTGTAAGATCTAGAAAAACCGAAGTGAACGGAGAAGTTCATGGAGGTAGGCCAAGGCCCACTGGGGCTGTAGTGCCAAGGGGGAAAAAAGGGGAAGTATTAATTCATATATTTTGATTCGTTTGTTATCATTCAGAACGTGAGGACAGCACTGTGAATACACCTTACTCTATCATACTAAATTTTTGCCTAAGCATATTTGAAAATAAGAAGAATAATTTACACAAATATATCACGATGTTCCTAGGAAATCTAATTAGAATTGTTGTGTATATTAATGGCACTACTGTCTTAGTTACCAACCAGATATA